TGCCCCTACCCCCTATTAGGACGGGACTTGCTAACCAAGATTGGAGCCCAAATTACTTTCAGACAAGGGGGGCCCCAGGTCACCGATGGCAAAGGCCATCCCATCCAGGTTCTGACTCTGAGACTGGAGGATGAATATCGCCTCCACCAGGGGCCGCCCTCAGTAGAGAACAACATGGACAAATGGCTACAAGAATTCCCCACTGCCTGGGCAGAGACGGGGGGAGTAGGACTGGCCGCTCACAGGGCCCCAACCCTGGTAGAGTTGAAACCAGGGGAAGGTCCAATCAGAGTCAAACAGTACCCTATGTCCCAGGAGGCTCGGAAGGGAATCCAGCCTCACATCCGGAGACTGCGAAGCCTAGGGGTACTGGTTCCATGCCAATCTGCCTGGAACACCCCCCTCCTGCCAGTCAGAAAGCCCCACACGAATGACTATCGGCCAGTCCAGGACCTCCGAGAAGTAAATAAAAGAGTTATGGATATACACCCAACTGTCCCCAACCCATACACTCTCCTAAGCTCTCTGGCACCCTCTAGAGTCTGGTACACTGTATTGGATTTGAAGGATGCTTTTTTCAGCCTGCCGCTCGCGCCTCAAAGCCAACCCCTGTTCGCCTTTGAATGGCACGATCCAGAGGAAGGCTGTAGTGGACAATTAACCTGGACACGATTACCCCAAGGGTTCAAGAATTCGCCCACCATCTTCGATGAAGCACTACATGAGAACCTCGGTGAGTACAGGAGAGAGCACCCCAGTCTCACCCTCCTTCAGTATGTAGATGACATCTTGATTGCTGCAGACACTGCCAAGGATTGTGAGCAGGGGACCAAAGACTTGTTGGCCACCCTAGGGACCTTAGGGTACCGGGCCTCTGCAAAGAAAGCTCAGATATGCCAAGAGAGGGTGAGTTACCTGGGGTACATACTGGAGGGCGGACAGCGGCGGTTATCAGACGCTCGGAAAGAGACAGTCCTGAAAATCCCTATTCCCACCACCCGGAGGGAAGTAAGGGAATTCCTAGGATCGGCTGGCTATTGCCGCCTCTGGATCCCAAGTTTTGCTGAGATCGCCAGACCCCTATATGAAGCTACCAAGGAGGGAAAGGCCTTTGAATGGACTGAGACAGAGGAAATTGCCTTTAATCAGATAAAGAAGGCCCTTCTGGCTGCTCCAGCTCTGGGCCTACCGGACATTACAAAACCCTTTCGCCTCTTTGTAGACGAGCGCAAGGGAATAGCAAAAGGGGTATTAACTCAGACTTTAGGGCCCTGGAGCCGCCCGGTAGCGTATTTGTCTAAAAAGCTGGACCCCGTAGCCGCCGGCTGGTCGCCGTGCCTAAGAATCATTGCAGCAACCGCGCTTTTAGTCAAGGATGCCGACAAATTGACCCTGGGGCAGGAAATCTGGATAACAACCCCACATGCCACTGAGGGAGTCCTAAAACAGCCTCCCGACCGATGGATGAGCAATGCACGCATGACCCACTATCAGAGCTTACTGCTCAACCCCCCTAGAGTACGGTTCCATCCCAGTGCGGCCCTCAACCCTGCTACCCTGCTGCCTGACCCCGACCTAGATGCCCCACTGCATGACTGTGCGGGGATCCTGGAGCAGGTACATGGACTTCGGAAGGACTTGACCGATCAGCCCCTCCCTGACGCAGAGGCCACCTGGTTCACGGATGGAAGCAGCTTCGTACGGGACGGGTGCAGGTATGCAGGTGCAGCGGTGGTCACCGACACGGACACTGTGTGGGCAGAAGCACTGCCCCCTGGGACATCAGCCCAGCGAGCAGAACTCATTGCTCTCACCAAGGCACTGACACTGGGGGCGGGGAAGCGGCTTAACATTTACACCGACAGCCGTTATGCATTTGCTACGGCTCATGTCCACGGGGCGATTTACCAGGAAAGAGGGCTATTGACGGCAGAGGGACGGACAGTGAAAAACAAACAGGAAATTCTCGACCTGCTTGCGGCCCTATGGCTTCCTGCGAAGCTAGCCATTATCCACTGTCAAGGGCACCAGAAGGCAGATGACCCAGTAGCAAGAGGTAACCAAAAGGCTGATCAGGCAGCCAAGGCAGCGGCCTTCACCTCAGTCCCCGCCATGGCCTTACAACTACCAGACCCCGGGGACCCAGTTCTACCAGACCAGCCTAGGTACTCTCAGGAAGAGCTGCAGCAGATCAGAAAGCTTCCCCTCGCTAAGGAGGTAAAGGGATGGTGGTACACCTCGGATAAGAAACTCATACTACCAGACTGGCTTGGGGTCACAGTATTAGAACGCATGCATTGGTCCACCCACTTGGGAGCCCGGAAGTTAAAGGACTTAATTCAGCATGCCAAGATCAAGATTCACCAACAAGTCTCCAAAATCAATCAAATTATAACCTCCTGTAAGACCTGCCAACTCACAAACGCAAGAGCTGGATCAGGTGGACAAGGAAACAGGCTCAGGGGCACCAAACCAGGAGCACACTGGGAGGTCGACTTCACCGAAGTCAAACCAGGAAAGTATGGTTATAAATATCTTTTAGTGTTCATAGACACCTTCTCTGGCTGGGTAGAGGCTTACCCAACCAAGCATGAGACAGCCCAGACGGTGGCCAAGAAACTGCTGGAAGACATCTTACCCAGGTATGGTTTTCCTGCTCTAATAGGATCTGACAACGGACCAGCCTTTATTTCGCAGGTAACACAGGCAGTAGCCAAGGTCATAGGGGCGGATTGGAAATTACATTGTGCTTATAGGCCCCAAAGTTCAGGGCAGGTAGAAAGAATGAATAGAACTCTAAAAGAGACCCTTACCAAATTAACCATGGAGACTGGCGGGGATTGGGTGGCTCTCCTTCCGTATGCCCTTTACCGGGTGAGGAACTCTCCTTACACCCTGGGTCTCACCCCTTACGAGATCATGTTTGGTAGACCCCCTCCTATCATCCCTAACCTAAAAGCTGAACTTCTTGTTGAGTTTGAAAATCAGGAGATATCTTTTTTCCTAAGAGAACTGCAGAGGGCGCACGAGGACATTTGGCCGCGCCTCCGCGCCATCTACGAGGCTGGCCCTACCCCAACGCCTCATCAGTACAAGCCAGGAGACTGGGTGTTCGTCAGAAGGCACCGTCGGGAGACCCTCGAACCACGCTGGAAGGGCCCCTATATCGTTGTGCTGACTACACCCACCGCTCTCAAGGTAGACGGCGTCGCGACTTGGATCCACCACTCCCACGCTCGCCCAGCCGACCCCTCTGCAATCCAGGAAGACTTCATCACACAATGGAGCATCAACCAAGACCAGCGCAACCCGCTCAAGCTCAAGCTGCGGCGCACTCGACCTGCCTGATGTTGGTAACCTTGCTCGCGATCACTCCCGCCATTGGGAGCCCACATACTCCTTATAATATCACCTGGCAGATCATAGACACTAGCTCGGGGGTGATCCTTAATCAGACTTCTCAGGTCCATCCCAAAGACACCTGGTTCCCTGAACTGCGGGTAGACCTCCTAACTCTCTTTCCCGACCCACGCGAAACCAGCGATTACTGCCTGGGTGCTGCAATACGCCAGGCTTCTGATGACTCAAAACCAAGAAGAACCCTCTATTTTTATGTCTGCCCCGGGCACTCACGAGCTCGGTCCCGGGGAAACGACCCTTGTGGAAGCGCTGGAGACTATTTCTGTGCTTCCTGGTCATGTGTGTCAACCGGACACATTTGGTGGGAAGCCCCAAAGAAGGGTGACCTAATCACCGTCGGCCGGCCGGCTGCTCCACCTTGTCCCCAGAGTGGACGTGTCTACTGCAACCCCGTGAGCATTTCCTTCACAAAAGAAGGGGAAAAGGCTGCAGGATGGGACACCGGGAAGACTTGGGGATTCCGAATCTATTCCTGCAGGAAGGCTTTGCGTAGTGGGGACCCTGGGATGCTGTTCACCCTCCGGGTTCAAAACACCCCCCTTCACTATCATTCCCCTGTGGGAGTGGGGCCCAACAGAGTACTAGCTCCTCGACCTCAGCTGACCACACCCCGGGTATCCACAACTGGAGGAGCATGGGCCCCGGCATCACTGCCCAACACCCCGCATGCACCTACCACGGAGAACCTGACTCTAAATCATGCCCCCCCGCCTGAAGTGGACCCTCTTATAAGCGTGGTTATAGGAGCCTATTATGTTTTAAATGCTTCCAGGCCCGACCTGACCAAATCTTGTTGGCTCTGTCTAGATGTTGAGCCACCGTATTATGAGGGTGTTGCGGTTAAGGGCGACTATACAACAGCCACGGATGTCAGCTCTTGCAGGTGGAAGCAGGCTGTTGCAAGACTAACCCTCCAGGCAGTGATGGGGCAAGGAGCTTGCATAGGCAATGTACCCCCTGAGCAGTTACATCTCTGCAACAAAACTCTGACTATCCCTGAAGAGGCAGTATATCTTTTACCTCCTAAGAATGCATGGTGGGCCTGCTCCAGTGGCCTCGCTCCTTGTGTCCACTCCCTGGTCCTTAATTCCCAGAAGGAAGGCTTTTGCTTGCTCGTGCAGTTGATTCCCAAGTTAATATACCATTCAGAGAAAGAAGTCCTTGACAAATTCGGCGCTGCCAATCCCCGAAGTAAAAGAGAGCCCATCACTGCCTTAACTATGGCAGCCCTCTTGGGATTAGGATTGGCAGGAGCAGGGACTGGTATATCCTCGCTTGTCATACAGGACAAAAATTATGGGGCCCTAAGAGCAGCTATTGACTTAGACATAGAAAAAATTGAAAAATCTATTACCCATTTACAGGAATCTCTCACCTCCTTATCTGAAGTAGTGCTCCAAAACAGAAGAGGACTAGACTTGCTATTCCTGCAGCAAGGGGGCTTATGTGCAGCTTTGGGAGAGGAATGTTGTTTTTATGTTGACCATTCAGGTGTTGTTAAAGAATCTATGGCCCTCATTAGGGAAGGATTGCAGAAGCGGAAGCTGGAAAAAGAGCAGTCTCAGTCTTGGTATGAAACAGTGTTCAACTGGTCCCCATGGTTAACTACTCTCATTTCTGCCCTCGTTGGGCCCCTTGTAATCCTCCTGATGCTGTTGACTTTTGGCCCCTGCATTATTAACAAGCTAGTTCAATTTGTCAAGGAACGCGTAGGGGTAGTTCAATTAATGGTCTTACAAGCTCAATACCGGCCTCTAGCGACGGAGGGAGAGGTAGAAATGCAGCCCGTCTCATGATTGAGCCGTGAGTTCCAAGACAAGGGGGGAATGAAAGAACAAGGCAGAAACACGCCCTCCTCCCTCCTCAAGGACAGGAGCAGAGACACACTCTCCTCCCTCTCCTCTATCTTGTCTTGCAAGGCTGGGCCCTCAGTCCCCCCCCTTTTTCTGAGAGTGACCACAACAATGCTGGTATTGTCCTAACTCCCCCAATACCTGAGTGGACCAATGAAGCTCCAGAAATGCAGCTAAGGTCCTAATAAGGCTATAGTGGAGGACGGCTCTAACCTTCAGAATGTGTTGGTCACTTCACTTCCTGACCCTTCTGACCTAAATGACCAATCTCTGTAACTCACGTCACCCCTAAAGCCCACCCAAATAACCTGCCCTATATAACCTTTGTTCTCCTGGGACACGCTCTCTCGCCTTCCCGCTGCGTCGGACAGAGGCTGAGAGCCAATCCTAGGTTTGACTAATAAAAGACTCCTTGCTTTTGCATCGGAAGAGGCTCCCTGGTGGTGACTTATTGGGGACCCCGAACTCTGGGTACAGCAGCTCTCCTGACTCCGTGGCAGTGCTAAGGATGTCCAACTAAAGCAGCAGTTCTCAACCTGTGGGTCGTGACCCCTTTGGCGGTCAAACGACCCTTTCACGGGGGTTGCCTAAGACCATCCTGCATATCAGATATTTACATTATGATTCATAACAGTAGCAACATTATAGTTATGAAGTAGCAATAAAAATAATTTTATGGTTGGGTCACAACATGAGGAACTGTATTTAAAGGGCCAGAAGGTTGAGAACCACTGGACTAAAGGCTTAGGCCCTCTCCCTGTAGGGAAGCAGGCCTAAGCTGTTAGTTGGACATCACCCGAGGGCTCCTGGGCTGCCAGAAGGATGTCTGACTGCCAGCTTAGGCCCGATCCCCCAGGGAGCGGGCCTAAGCCGGCAGGTGGACATACCCCGAGGGGTCCCGGACTGCGAGAGGGTGCAGGATGGGCTGAGGGACCCCCAAGTGCATGAATTATCGTGCACCAGGTCTCTAGTTTGATACGTAAAATCGATTTGGTCTCACTCATTAGATGAATGCATACTTTTTTCATTACTGTACATTTTCACATGACAAAGATGAGGCAAATCTGGAAATAAAGGAGCAGAATGGTATGTAGTCTCCTTGCTGGGATGCTCACAATGTACAGAATGACAGTAGAAAAAGGCATTTCCTGGAAGCCTCCAAGAAAAGCTGACCTTTTGTTACATTCAGTTAGGATATTTTATCCAGCATCACACGTGGTTAAAAACATCAAGCTAGCCCGGCTGGTGTGGCTCAGTGCTTGAGTGTCTACCTATGAACCAGGAGATCACAGCTCAATTCCTGGTCAGGGTACATTCGATCACCAGTAGGGGGTGTGCAGGAGGCAGCCGATCAATGCTTCTCTCTCATCATTGATGTTTCTATCCCTCTCTTTTCCTCTCTGAAATCAATAAAAATATATTTAAAAACAAGCAAACAAACCCCCTATCAAGCTAATATCGAGATTTAGAATAGGTTCTATCTACTGAACAACAATAGTCACACCACAACAAAATTATTCTTTCATGTAGGAAATGGCTGTGCTACAAGTACATTCTAAATATAAAAATACATTTAATTGGGGCAACAGGGAGGCAGGAAAACATTAGGCATGCAGGCAAAGGACTATGCCAGGTTATGAGGGCTACTGTTGTTATGCATTTTGTGCATTGCTTACAAGGAAAAAATAAGAGGATAGAGGGAAAATTAAATTTTAAAATGAGAGATGCAATTATATGACACAACACCTGCCTTTTAAGCCCTGGCTGGTTTCGCTCAGTGGATAGAGCGTTGGCCTGCGCACTGAAAGGTCCCAGAATCGATTCCAGTCAAGGGCATGTACCTTGGTTTGCGGGCACATCCCCAGTGGGAGGTGTGTAGGAGGCAGCTGATTGATGTTTCTCTCATCGATGTTTCTAACTCTCTATCCCTCTCCCTTCCTCTCTGTAAAAAAAATCAATAAAATATATTTAAAAAGAAAGTTTTGGGTCTTTCAGAGAGTAAGTCACAGAGAATTAAACAACAACAAAAAATACATCACAGGGAAAATTCTTAAAGGGTACTATTCAAATCATGATTTAAAAATAATATATATACATATATATATTTCAAGTAATAAGAAAAATGAACATCAAAGAATGAATAAATTGTTTCTCCTTTAGTTCTAGCAAAATGGAAATGCTAGGTGAATAAACATTGTTGAATAAATGTTTGATAGATTTATCAATTAAATAATATTTTACTGAACAATTGAAGAATTGTATATTTGATCATAATTCAGAAAGAGCATGGATTTTGGAATCTGATCTCCACCCTGCCTTTTGGTAGCTGAGTAATTTGGGGCAAGTAATTCAACCTCAATAAGCCTCAATTTATTTTCTGAGATAGGAACTCTGAATTCCAGTCTAGATTCTTCTTTGAAACTTTGTGTAAAATTGGACAAGACCCTTTGCTTCTGTGAGTTTTTTTCTCTGATGTATAAAAGTGAGGAAGTTAGCCTCTAGGTGGCAATCTCTATGAATACATTTGCAGCTCTGACATTCCTGAGCTCTATGTTCTAGGTCAGTGATGGCGAACCTTTTGAGCTCGGCGTGTCAACATTTTGAAAAACCCTAACTTAACTCTGGTGCCATGTCACATATAGAAATTTTTTGATATTTGCAACCATAGTAAAACAAAGATTTATAATTTTGATATTTATTTTATACTAGAGGCCCAGTGCACAAAAATTTGTGCACAGGGTGGGGGTCCCCTCAGCCCGGCCTGTGCCCTCTCACAGTCTGGGACCCCTCGGGGGATGACCACCTGCTGGTTTGGGCCCACTCCCCGGGGGATTGGGCCTAAGCTGGCAATCAGACATCCCTCTGGCAGCCCGGGAGCCCTTGGGGGATGTCCACTTGCCAGCAGGGAGCAGACCTAAGCTGCAGTCGGACATCCTT